TTGTGTATTATGTTCCCTTTTTAAGAGTCTTTTATCTACCGAATAGATGATAACTTTTCTCCTTGGTTTTTTATGGTAAACTTCCTTCAGTTAGCAAAGACAGAGATGATATGTAAATGTACGTTGTTCTTTGTCCTTTCGCAGACCCTTCTTTTGAAAACATTCTAGAGCGGTGATATGCTTTTCTGTCCTAGAAATAGAAAATAAATGATTTCCCCCCCTTTGATACGATTAGGAGCATTAGATAAGATTTCATTAGGTAGCTCTTGTGTGGTATCATTACTTTAAAACCTGGCAATATCCATATGTTGCTTTCATTCTGTCCTGATGTCCAAGATAGGGGGCAGGGGGAGCTTGGGACTGAGCAGTAACCAGCAGGGTGAGATAGAGCGATACTCTGGTAGAGCTAGGACGGATTCCACGGAAGGCATGTTTTCTTAATGCCAGGAAACCAAAGTAACCTGAATCAGACACAAGCTTCTTCTTTATCTCAGAGTCCTGTGCAGGTCTGCAGATATGACCACTTGAGGGATGAGCTGACACACCCATCACTGCTAGAGAAAAAGCAGAAGGTAAACGAGGCAGTGCTGGAGAGATGTTTTCCCTAGTGTTATGGACAGAGTGGTTCACTTCTCCCTGCAGTGCAGAGTGATCTTGATACTGAAGCCCAGTGGAAAGAAAATCAGCCTCAGTCATGTGAGCTAACTCTTAAAAACCTCTGTTAGAAAGATCCATCTTTATGGATGAGTAGAGTACCCTGGTTTTGATGTATTCTTGGGAAAATAGAGGGTGAATATAAGAGGCCATCAATTAAAAATGTGTGTTTCTGAAAAATTATTAAAGCCTTTAAAAAGAGAAAAATAACACCTGTACTATTGCCGAAATGTTTGTGTGCTTTGCTATTTTTTCTATACATTCATTTGATACAGTTGAACATAGTCAAGTTTTTACTATAATAGAATTTTGTTTCCTGCTTTTTAATTTATTTCCTGTTCATGAACATGTTTCCATGCTGCTAGAGGTTTCAGTGGACTATCATTTTCTAAAACTGAAAATGTGTCTTGTTAGATAGCTTTTCATTACTATAACAAAATACCTGAGATAATCAACCTTAAAAAGTAGAAGAGCTTATTTTGGCTCAGTTTTAGAGGTTTTAGTCCATGACTGCTTAGTTCCTTTACTTTGGGACCGTGGTGAAACAGTACTTCATGCTGAAGTATGTATGGTGGAGCAAGCTGCTCATCTGTGGTGGCCAGGAAACAATAAAGTGAGAGAAAGAGATCAGCATCTCACAGACGTTTCCAGGACACACCCCCATGACTAAGGCTTCCCACTTAGCTCTATCTCCTAAAAGTTTCCACTGGTGTCCAGCTAAGGACCAAGCCTCAATGAGGACATTCCAGAATCAACTACTTTTATTTGGATAATTGGACATCTGAGAGCTTTTGGGATTAACTTTTGGTCAATAGAGGAGCCTCTAGAAGTAGGTAAGTAACAATGCACCCTGTCCCAGTTGGAAGCACAGAAACCTCAAATTTTCTACATCAAAATGTTTTTCTGGGTGCTTTCAAAACTTGTCTATTGCCACTCAATTAAAAATCTGATCTATGGTAGGTTATAGATTTCATGACACTTTATGGTCAAGAAAATTGAGTTGATTCTACAACATATTTTAGGATTGCCCTAGGAATTCATTATTGATTGAATATCTGATGGAAGCTATTTTATAGCCTTTATGACTGAGGTGCTTGGAGGAAAAGTATAAAAAATTAAGGAATTTGCTCAATTAGATTATAGATAATTAAGTTTTCCAAACATTTCTGTTGGTCTTTGATTAAAAAACAGTAATTGTTAAAATTGTCGTGTATGACGTCAGCCAGGGCTTTGTAGTCTCTGAAACAAAGCTATAAATAGCCATTTATCTGGTTTTGAAGCAATCATTTTTAATCTCAGTCTCAAGAATTTTTAGTGTTTTGATGTATTATAAATGAACTGCTTTCAAGTTAGATGAAAAGTTAATTAGATCCAAAATAATTAGGTCCACTTGTAAGTTACCACCAGTAGTTTGAGTTCTATCAAAGAAAAAATATCCTTTTCCTTCTCTGAGTCACTTATTGTCTAGTTAGCAACCTTAGAAAGCTGGGTTAATTGAATGTGAACCTTCAAAAGATGAAGGGCCATCTGCTGACCCCATCTTCAGTCCGTGTGCGTAACTTGTGCCAGTGGCTCTGGTGGCCACATATGTGGACTGAGGGACAGCAGATGGTTGTAAAGATTTTAAATCGTCAGCAAGTGGCCAAGAGTCATTGTACTTTGGAGTTCATCAAGATGCTGGCCACATGTGGCTGGTATGTGTTATTAAGGGTCCCGTGTAGGTTGCTTGCTGGTGTGTTATTTTCCTTCCTGCTCTTCTGCCCCTTCCCCAGCCTCTGTCTGCTGTAGATTATAGAAATCTGTAACTGAGTGGTTTTGGAAAGGGAAAAAACCAAACATATTTGGGTTTCTTTTTCCAGGTGCCATGGGAGATTGGTTAACTCGGTAGAATGAAATGGCCCTAATTAGAATTGCTCTGTAGGGAAAGCCCAAATCCTTTATTTGGTAGTCTTTTGTGTTTCTGCAGATTCACGATTACTTATAGGTAAAATTTATAGTGATATTTAGATGATTCCCCAAATGCCTCAGTTTTTATTTGATGGAATGATTTCTGCAGAATGATGTCTGGACTCCTTGTGAAGATAGGATTTAATTTTATAGTGACTCATGTTAAGACCTTGAACCTGGCTCTGGTAAAAATAAAGTCCTTATGTAACAGAGATAGACATACAAGTTTGAGGCAGAGGGAAATGTGTTTTCCGTAGCCAGGGTGGAGTGGAACCACCACCATGTGGAAGCAGGAACTCCCATTTCATGTGATGAAGAAATGCTTGTGGCATGTGGGGCAGATGGAGTGTGAAATAGTAGCTTCAGGAAAAGAGGTACCCGGGGACCTTGGTTTAAAAATGCAATTTCAGAAGGAATGCAAGAAAAATTCTGGATTTCAGACAGTTTGGCGTTATGGGGAAAGAAAGGACTTTAATTGGTCTGGCTTTTTTCCTTTAATCAAAGTTCAGGCGGAGTCATCCAGCAAGCTGCTCTCTTACTTCTTGATTACTACCATCAAGAACAAGCACTTGATTCACATGACATGAGTTTTTCATTTTTGAAACTGAAGTTTCAAGTTTGCATGTCCAGAAAGCTCCAGAATCATAGTTCTCCTCCATGAAGTTTGTTTAGGGAGCTGATAAGTGGATCTCCTAAGGAATCTGAAGCACTCAACCAATATTTTGTTGGATGGTTCTCAGCTTAACTAACCAATTTTACATCAGGTTGGAGTAAGCATTTTTAGATACTTTGTTAGACAGCTTTATCTCTTTGTGACCAAAATACCTGACAAGAACAACATAGAGGAGGGAAGTTTATTTGGGCTGTGGTTTCAGAAGTTCATTCCATGGTCATCTGGCTCCATAGCTGTAGGCCTGAGGTGAGACGGAACACGGTAGAAGCGTGTGAAAGAGCAGTACTGCTCAACTCCATGGCATCCAGGAAGGAGGTGGCAGGGGTTGGGTGGGGGAATCTGTTAAAATATTAAGTTGAATGTACATGCCTACCTATCTTCCTGTCTTTCTGGTAGTTCAGGGAAATAGGAAGAGCAGATGGAATGACTAGGAGATGTTTTGTGTCTCAATTGAAGTAGTGCCTTTCTGCTTAGTAGGTAGAGATGGGATTTATAAAGCATTGACATTGATTTCCTGTGATTTATTTAATGAGTTGCACTGTTTTATATTTATATTCTCTGTATAGTATTCCAGAATAAAACTCTTAAATATTATTCAAAGAGGAGTGGAGTGTTCATTATATCTCACTACTTCAATGCAATTGAACAGGCTAGCAACAAATCTAAGGTAGAACTACATCTGGAGGCAAGATTCAGATTGATCTTAGGAACTGACAGTAGTGGTCAGTTATAAAGGTGGACCAGCTAGGTGGGAGAGGTGCTTATAAACTGGTGGTAATAAAATCACACCCAAGGCTTCCAAACCCTCTGAGCAAATGGGGTCATTGGGTACACAGAAAACAAAAGTCAGAAAAGCAGAACAGACCAGAAGCCAGACACGCAGTATGGATCACAGAGGAAACCCTGGTACCTCTCTCTTGGCTTGGAGTGCATTCCCAGAGAATGGCCAGTCCGAGCATTCATAGATACACTAAAGAACCAGTCTAGGAAGGGGACTTTCAGATTCCCCTGGCTATAGAGAAGGTGAACAAGGTCAGAAAGCAGACAGACCTTAAAGGGCTATTAGAGATAGGTTTCTGAATGCTGTGGTTCTGGATTAGTGTCACACTAGAGGATTCTATGTGCCCTTCATCATGATCTCTTAATTGCCAGTAGGAAGAACATGACTCATTAAGGGAGGTGAAGTGTTCTGTATTCATTCAGTAAAATTGTTTGAATCTATATTGAATCAAAAATGGGATCCTTGTGATTTGGAACTGTTCTGCAACTTCACTGTGGTGGATACATGAATGTGCACTTGTGATAAAATTACACAGAACCAAATGCACACACTGGGAAATGAGTGCAAGGGAGGCTGAGGAAATCTGAGTAAGAGTGGTAGGTAGCTCGCTTCCGTGCTTCCTTACTGGTTGTGATACTGATGCTGTAATATCACAAGATGTTACTATTGGGAGAAGTTACATTGGGTCTCTCAACACAGAATTTTGCTATATTATTCTTAGTTTCATAAGAATCTATAATGATCACAATTAAAATTTTCCTGGTTCTAAAACTGAATAATATTCAATAGTGCAGTATATTTTGCTTAATGACAAATTTGAAATCAGATTCATATTAACCTTGTCTAGTAGTCTAATATAAACAGAAAGAATAAATGCTTTAAATTTTTTTCACAATTGCTTTCTGAAAAATGTGAAATAATTTTCACTTGACTACTGTCTTTCAGCCATGAAGACTTTGAATTTATTTCAGGAACTCGAATGCGCAAACTTGCTCGAGAAGGCCAGAAGCCTCCTGAAGGCTTCATGGCGCCCAAGGCCTGGACCGTGCTGATGGAATACTACAAATCCCTGGAGAAAGCCTAAGTGTTAACCCAGTTGCTCCACCTTTGATGCTTCACCAACTCACAGAGGGGACCACATAGTCGTCACTGTTGGCATTTCTTTGTGGTTGTATCTGTCTGGATGTGCTTCCTAAAAACAGACCAATTTCCTTAACTTGAGTCAGTTTTGGTCTGCCTTACGAGTTCTGTTTTGAACTAGTGTAACACACTGCTGGTTTTAATGTATCTTTTCCACTTGTAATAGTTAAGATTCCTATAATACAATTTTAAAATCTTGTCTTTTTATATTATATTTATGCTCTGTCTCATGATATTTTCAAGCTGTTATATTAGTTGTAACCAGTATACACATTGATTCTCACTTTTCATCCCTTTTAAACACAATCACTAAACAGTAAACATGGCTTGAACTTGTTTTGGGAATTTTACAAGAAGCGTAGCAATTAGAATTTTTTTTTTATGTTGAAAATTTAAACTGCCTCCTCTCTTACTTCCAATCAGCTATTGATCTTTCAGCTGTTATAATCTAAAGTATTCTTATGATCATTGTAAACCCTCTATTCAATAAAATTAATTTTTTTTGCTTCTTATTGGATACTTTTTATATTATATTGTTTTGTTTATATATACCCTTTCCTACTGAAAAAGTTGCTAATGGAGGAGGGAAGATGTAGGCACCTTTCATTTCTATGATCTAGTACTTAGCTCCTAACACTTATGTGAAAATATTATATACGTTACATGACATTTACACATGTTAAATCATTCTTCATCTGTAAAGAACCTCAACCAGCTTCCCCAAATATGTCTTTAACATTTTTGTACAACTATCAAACAGTCCACTGAGGATTTAGAATGCACTTGGGTATTATTGCTTTAGTTAAGAAAACTGGTTTGTTATAGAAACTCTCTAAATCACAAGGGCTTAAAAGAAGGTTTGTTTCTTCTAAATGCCATGTGATCCATGCGGGTTAGTAGAGAAATTCTGCTCACCTTGATCATTCAGGCTAAGGTACTACCACTTTCTGCCATTTTGATGATGAGAAGTTTTACAGCTGAGTGTGGGGGTGTGAGTTTGTAGTTCCAGCTGCTTAGGAAGCTGAGGCAGGAGGGTCTCTTGAGCCTAGGAGTTTGAGGTCAGCCCATGCAATAGAATTACATCCAAGAGAAAATTAGGGGCTGAGGTTATAGCTCAGTGGTAGAGTGCCTGCCTAGCACATATGAGGCCCTGGGTTTGATCTCAGAACCACATAAAAATAAACAGATAAAGATCATCTACAACTAAAATATATATTATAAATATATATAAGAGCTGGGCTTGGTGGTGCATGCCTGTCATACCAGTGGCTTGGGAGGCTGAAGCAGAAGAATGGTGAGTTCAAAGCCAGACTCAGACTCTGCAAAAGTAAGGAGTTAAGTCACTCAGTGAGACCCTGTCTCTAAATAAAATACAAAATAGGGCTGGGGATGTGCCTCAGTGGTCAAATGCCCTAAGTTCAATCCCCAGTACAAAATATATATATGTGTGTGTGTGTGTGTGTGTGTGTGTGTGTGTGTATATGAAAGCTTTAAAAAATAAACTACATAAACTACTCACAGTCTCTGTGTGCTTTGGCAGAAGTGGCACACTCTACATGCTAGTTCATTGAGCAGGACAGATTACACAGACCCATTCACATGAAAGGAATGGTAGGAACTGAAGACTAGGTACGGGAAGGCAAGAGGACTACTAAATTTCAAGTTCTTTTTTTATCAGAAACATTACAGGTACTGGGATTGTGGCTCAGTGATAAAGCGCTCGCCTAGCACATGTGAGTCTCTGGGTTTAATCCTCAGCACCATATAAAAATAAAATAAATGTTATTGCGTACACCTATAGCTAAAACAAATATTTTTTAAAAATTACAAAAGCTAAACACAATGGGAAAAGGCATTTTAACAAATGCTTGTCAGAAAACAGCATGTCCACCTAAAATGAGTGGCAGAGACTGGCTCTCCAAAACAATTCTTCAGGAATGATTGTAGTCTGTTACACAAGTACCATGGTAAACAATGGGTATATTCAAGGAGACAAAGAGTTTTTAAAGGTAGCATAAGGTTACATAAGTTGTTTTGAAACAATGTCCTTGAGCTGTAATGATTGATAATAAGGGGGTGTCAGTTCAAGGTCAAAGGGGCAGTTGCTAGGTAAGCATCTTTGTAGAAGTATTTTTTTTGTGTGTGTGTGCAAAGTTGTGGCAGACTTTGTCCAAGGATATGATTTTAGAAGTGTTTTGTCATGGTTCTTGTATCAAGCAAATATGTGTCAGGATCTTCAAAGGCTTCATGCCCACCTGACTCTGTTTTCTTAAAGTTTGATCTAAGTGACTTCATTTTGATTCTGACAGTCTTCACAGCATCCTTTCAGTAGCCACACAAAAGTAATTGTAAGATTAATATGAAGAAGAGAAATAAAAATAATCCTAGGTTGCAATACGATATAGAAAGTGATCTTGTGTTTTAATCAGGTTATTGTCCTTTCTGAGTCTAGTCCCCCAATGTACCCCCAGACTCCAGCTAACCAGAGGAGGACGCGATGAAATCATGATTCCAAGACCTCATTCCCTTGGGATTGGTCACCCACTTGTGTGTTCCAGAGGCATAAAGAAGAAATAAAATAACCAGTTATTTCCATGTGTTCATAGGTTGTGTTTTTTTAGTCTACAAATCTGATATATGTGGAAATTTTATTTTTCCTCCTCCTAGTTCATAAAAATGAGCACAAACCAATCTAAAACATTGAATTCTTACACCAAACATCTCCTGCCAAGAGGTCTTGGAAATCCAAGTGCCATTTTTATCTATCCATCAGCTGGAGAAGTGAATGGAAAAATAATTACTTTTTAAAAATGAAGTACAATCATCTTGGCAGAAATATAATGTCTTTAATCTGTCAATTCTCTATTCCATATGATAATCAAGACCACATATTTGAGTTTCATTTCCATCCAAGGGGAGAACAATTATATCTATCTCTTGGAAGTCAACATTCAAATATTTTATCAGGAAAAATTCGGAAGTCATGCTTCCAACATATGGTATATCTTTATTAACACATATGTATCCAGGAGTGGGTTGGCTCATAAAGTAAGGAGGTATTTGCCCATTGGGCCTCTTTTATGTGTGGTATATATTTCTTATGGGGCCTACAAGTCTCTTTGGTTATATCTCTGCTGGATTTCATTTCTTATTCCACATAGTCTGGTGCTGAATATAATTATGTCTGAGTTGTGCAAAAACCATATTGCCCATCTAATTTCCAGCTGGTATTTTTCTGAATTGAGGTAAAATCTAGTTCTACCCCCACTTGTTGTAGTCAGCTTTTTCTCTGCTGTGACTAAAGGATCTGACCAGAACAATTGTGGAGGAGGAAGAGTTTATTTAGGGGCTCATGATTTTAGAGGTCTCAGTCCATTAGACAGCAGCCTCCATTTCTCCAAGCTCCAAGTGAGGTGGGACACCATGGAGGCAGAGGGAAGCAGCTCACATGATGACCAGAAAGCAGAGAGAGAGGTCTCCACTCACCAGACACAAGATATATACCCCAAAGCCACATCCCCCAATGCCCACCTTCTCCAGCCACACCCTACCTGCCTTCAGTTACCACTCAGTTAATCCCCACCAGGGGATTAATTCACTGATTGGATTTAAGATGCTCATAACCCAATCATTTCTGTTCTAAACTTTCTTGCATTGTCTCACATGTGATCTTTCAGAGGACACCTCACATCCAAACCATAACACCCCTAAAGATAGGTACTTGAAGACTATGGTTCAGTGGGGATGTTTTAAGAGTAAAGCCTCCTTATCCTCATTTCCTGCTTTAGATTCCCAAGAAAGATGCCCTAGAATTAGGGCTAGCACTGATGAATAACTGAAAGGAGAGTTTAGTGGCCAATTTGAATTGTCAACTTGATTGGATTAAAAGATGCGTAGGATTAACTGGCTTATGGGTGTGTCAATGAGGGATGTGTCTAGGAATGACTGCATGTGGGATAGCCAACTGAAGTGGAGACCCCCACCCCTAAGCATGGACAGCACCATCCAATAGGATGATGGCTTGGATGGAATAAAAGTTGGAAGAACAAGGAAACAGCAGCAGATGCAAGCCTGATTCTTTATGAACGGGTTCTTGGTTGCTCTTTCCATTGTCTGAGAATATCAGACTCTCACTTCTTCACTCTTCCAAAGCAGACTTTGCCAGTGATTCTCTAGGGAGTTTCCAGAAGCCTTTGGTCTTAGACTAGGCCAGGGTAGCACCATTGATCCCTCTTTTTCTGGGCTTCTGCCTCTTGGACAGCACAGCTACTGGTTCTTCCAAGTCTCCAGCCTGCAGACAGCCATTGTGGGTTATCTAGCTTCTGGCTGCATAAGCCAACCTAATAAATCCCCTTTTTATAATCATACTTCCTGTTGATTCTGTTCCTCTAGAGAATTCTGACTAAGACAGGGAGATTAGAATTGGGGCTTACTCTTGAGAAAAGAACAATAATAGACTACTGGGGTGTGAGATTACTGGGTTACTGGAGTAATGGAAACTCGTGGAGTATAGTTTCTTTCCATGTCTGTCTCTGTGCTGACTTTTGTCCTCTTCATAGCCATCAAGCAGAGGGGATGCTCAGCAGTTATTTCTCACAAGCTTGCTTTTGGTCAGATGAGGGAAGTTTTCAGCATCTGTTGATTCTTGTTTGGCTTACCTCAAAATAATCCTTAGGCCAAAGTGACATATTTGGATGTTGCCTGTGCTTATTCCCCATAATAATTAATAAAGGTATTACAACTAATATGTCATAATATGTTTTAATTCACCACTTTTTGAAGGCTGCCGTTATACCTTAGATCTGTAATTCCTCTGAAGTCTCATGCATGGAAGGGTTGATCCCCCAAGCAGCAGTGTTTGAAGGTAGGGTTCTTGAAAAGAGATGGGATTATGAGGGCTCTGACCTCATCAGATAATTCCATTGATGGACTAATTTGATGTTATTATTTGAAAGTGGAAAAAACTATAAGAGGTGGATCCAATTGTAAGAAGTAGGTCACTGGGGGCATGTCCTGGAAGGGTAAATCTTGTCCCTGACCCTGTCTCTGCTTTGTGGTGGCCACACTCTACTGCCATGTTTCTGCCTTGGAGCCAACAGACTATGAACTGAAACCTCTGGAACCATGACCTCAAATACATCTTTCCTCCTAAGTTGTTTTTCTCACATATTTTGTCCCAGCGTTAGAAATATGACTCACACAGCTGGGTGTGGTAAAGGTAAATAAAGGAATCTGAAATAGTAGTTAGAAACTTTACATTTAGAAAAAAATGAGTGATTGAGTTAATTAGAATAGTTATGGTGAGAAATAAAATGGAATTAGGTTATTGTATTTAAAAAAGTGTTGAGTTACAGAGTGATAAAATTGAATATATATCTAATATATTAAGGAGAAAATAGACTAGTTAGAAGATTTCTGTAGACCAGGCATTTGCAAAGTGATCAGTCCAGTGGCACTTTTTTGTAAATGAAGTTTTATTGCCACAGTCATAGCCCTTTGTTAACATATTGTCCATTG